AAAAAAAAAAAAAAAAAAACAAAAAAACAATAAAACACAAACAAATTTCAAGAAGGTTGCAAAGAACATGAAGAACATGAAACCCCAAGTGTGATTCCTGTGGGCCGACACTGGACACTGGTTGCACATCCCAGAAGCTGGCCCTGACCTCACACCTCTTTTATGAAGCTTTCCTTGAATTAATTACGATCTTCTCAGTGTTCCCAAAGCACTTCTTATGTTTAACTGCAGCACTTCCTTGTTTGCTCAGTGTGTACATTTATGTCTAGCCCTGAGGATGGTTTCTTCAAGAAGGGAACCTTGAGTCATGTTTATATCCTCAACAGAACCTGAGTTTTATATATGTTGTGTTCAGTTAAGAATGAAATTCAATCTAAAGAACATTTTTTTAACTTAATACATTTTTTAAGTTAAAAAATGTTTTAAAAGTATCTTTTCACTTTTTGAACCAATTGTTATTATTATTATTATTATTATTATTTTTGAGACAGGGTCTTACTCTGTCACCCAGGCTGGAGTGCAGTGGCGCGATCTCAGCTCACTGCAACCTCTGCCTCCCAGGTTCAAGCGATTCTCATGCCTCAGCCTCCCGAGTAGTTGGGACTACAGGCACATCATGCCCAGCTAATTTTTATAATTTTAGTAGAGACAGGATTTCACCATGTTGCCCAACCTGATCTGGCACTCCTGGACTCGAGTCATCTGCCTGCCTTGGCCTCCGAAAGTGCTGGGATTACAGGCATGAGCTACCAGGCCTGGCCAGAGCTGATTAATTTTTACCCTGAGTTTTTAAATATAATTAAATCTTGTGATTGAATATATGAATAAGTAGAGAAAAGAGATCTCCTATTTAGAATTCCAAACAATTTAAGTAGTGGGTTTTTATAGTGACTTTTTTTCCCAAAAAGTACCACGTGGAAGGGGGGGAAAAGTCTCTTTACAGTGGTGACATGTGACAAAGACACCTCAGCCATGTGACCAAAATCAACATTATTCAAAAAGAAACTGAGTATTAAAATAAACCTTTCCTTAATAGTAAAAAAATAAAATAAAATTAACATAATCAGTGATGTCATGTTGATAGTATGAATTCTTGGTAGGATGAAAATGGCTCATTACCCCTGTGGTCTTCCTCCCCACAATCCATAACCTCCATCTAACCATGAGAGAAAAAATCAAATGAATCCTAATGAGGAACATTATCCAAAATACATGACCATTACTCCTGAAAACTCTCAGGGTCATCAAAAACAAGTACTGTCTGAGCGATTTTCACAGCCGAGAGGAGCCTAAAGAGGTATGAAGACTCGGGCCAGGCACGGTGGCTCACGCCTGTAATCCCAGCACTTTGAGAGGCCAAGGCGGGCATATCACCTGAGGTCAGGAGTTTAAGACCAGCCTGGCCAACATGGTGAAACCTTGTCTTTACTAAAAACACAAAAAAGCTGGGGGTGGTGGTGGGCACCTGTAATCCCAGCTACTTGGGAGGCTGAGGCAGGAGTATTGCTTGAACCAGGGGGACAGAGGTTGCAGAAAGCCGAGATCGCACCACTGCCCTCCAGCCTGGGCAACAAGAGTGAAACTCCGTATAAAAAAAAAAAAAAAAAGAGACATGAGGACTAAATGTAACGTGGTATCTTGAATGAGATCCTAGAACAGACAAAGGACTTTAGATATAAACTAAAGAAATTTGAATAAAGTATGGTCTTTAGTTTACAACCTGCATCAATATTGGTTCATTAATTGTAACCTGTGTTCCACATTAATGTAAGATATTCATAATGAGGGAGACTGAGTCCAGGTTATGTGGAAACTCTCTGTGCTATCATTTCTATTTTTTCATAAATCAAAATTTTTCTTTAAAAATTGCCTTAAAAAAATTAAACCTGGGGGAGGAGAATTTATGTCTGAGTGAGAGCAAGCAATGAGTGTAGAGAAGAGGGACAGCATTTTCTGAGCAACAAACTGTCCCTGAGAAAGAATGTATCTGTAAAATGCACCTAACTTTTTAGCTTTTGTATTAGATAATCAGCGTTTTCTCCTTGAGAGGTTGCCCCTTAGGCCTAAGTCAGAGTTAATAGATTAAATAATAGTAAATGAACAGAATGTTTTCAACCTAATAAATAAACAACAAGTAACTAAATTATCAGAACTGGATGGAATGCACTCAAGATGTGTGTGTATGTGTGTGTGTGTGGTGGTGGTGGTGGTGTAGGGGGGTCACATGAATGTGTGTGAACTTTGGTTGAACTCTCTGAAGCGTTATCCAGAATCTCAACTACACAGGTCAGTAAGTGATGTTATTACCCCCATTTTACAGAAGAGGAAACAGAGGTCACTATAGTGGGTGACTGAAGAAGGGTTGCTAGTGAGTATTGATTTTTTTTTCCAAGCATACTTCAGAAGTTGCTGTAGATATTATATAGGCCAGTATACTTCTCACCTTAGTAACAGCCTGGCAAAATGTTACAATCACTCAAAGTACTGAGTTAAGGCTGGGCATGGTGGCTCAAACCTGTAATCCCAGCACTTTGGGAGGCCGAGGCAGGCAGATCACTTGAGGCCAGGAATTCAAACCAGCCT